ATATAGGGATGCGTCCGGCTGGTATTCCTGCCATCGCCTCCGTCATCATCAGTCCGGAACACATCTCTCTATCCGTTCAGCCATCTCCGTCCTGCTCTCTTCGGCTGCAGTCGTGTCTTCTTCTCTCTTTCGACGCCCCCCCTCACCGTGCTCCCTTCCCCCCCTCCCCTGCTATCTTTTTGGTCTTTTGTTCCGTGTCTTCTGTTCAATGTTTTTCTTATTCGTCCCTCCGCGCGTAGAATGCTTAGCTTCTCTTCCTCCTTGTGGTGTCATTTGACCGTGAAATTCTCCGTTCCCTCCGTCACCCCTTCGTATCACGGCACACCTTTCTCCATCTTCGCTGCGATAGACCATCAGCCACGCGGTATCCCGAACGTCCTCAAGTCGTCATCCAGGATTCGTCGTTGGCACCGAACTCTACGAAGTCGTCCTTCAAGTATAACAACACCCAATTATTTTCCGCGCGCCCGCTGTGTGGGTCCTTTCCCCCCACGATATCTCCGAACATCAATCACTTCGGGAGTCGCCCGTCCGGTTGTCTGGCCCATGCTTCATCATACAGTGGTCCCAATAGTCGGACAGCAGTAGCCCTCCACGCTTTAGCATTCGACTTTTTTCAAGACTAAGGCGTACGAGAGCTGGCGATATTGGCCGCACGTGCGGCGGTAGCCGATAACCCGTAGCAGATGACGGTAGTGCGTACTAGTCATAATGTCGTAGTGATTGCGGCGCAGGGTCCACGTCATGCATCCGTATAGCAGCGCCTCCATCGCCTCCGCTTTTGATTAGTCCCCACGGTGCTGTCGGTCTGTCGAAGAGCTCTCGGGCTTACTTCCGGAGACACACCCACGTTGCTCTGCTCCGTTCGTTGATTTCTGACGTGAGTTCAGCATCTTCTCTGATCCGACTACCAAGATAGATATCTGAACTCCGCTGTCTGGGCGTACTTTTTCTTCTGTCCCGCTGCTTCGATCACCAGCGGTGCCGTAGGTGGTGTGGGTGGCGGTGGCGGCGCTCCTTTCTTCGCTTTCTTCGTCGGTACCTTCATCAGGAGAGTCTCTGTCTTCTTCTCCGACACTGTCAGTCCAAGTTCTCCAAGCACTTCCATGGTAGTGGCCATCATCTTCGCCATGTCTTCGGGCGATCTCGATACGGACCCAGCGTCGTCGGCGTACGGCATACCCCACACCGCCTTCTAGACTCGTTCCAGCGGTGTCGCTGCCCTCGTCCCAGTCTCCTCCTTGATCGAGGTATAATACCAGATCCCTGAGGATAACGTCGTCTTCGCTGAAACGTACCAGAACCGTACATCGAGCGCTGCCGCGAAGAAGAGGTTAATCAGCAGTGGAGAAAGCAGTACACATCCTTATCGCAGTCCCTGGGTGACCTCCACCATTCAGAGAGCTTGCATGCCGCCGTGGAACTGGCGGTTGACCGCGATCATTTCTTCCGGGATCCCCGCTTGGGTCAGCACCCGCGACAGCAGCTCCCGGTCGACTGAGTCATAGGCCTTCTTCTGCAGGTCGACGAAGCACATGTACAGCGGGATACCACGTCTCCGCGCCCGCTCCTGCAATGGTCGTACGACGAACAGCATGTCGACGGTGGACCTGCCAGATCGGAAGCCGCACTGCTCTCCCGGCACGATGTCATATTTGTCGCAGTAGTCGCTGAGACGGCTAGCAACGATTTTCAGGAGCACCTTGCCCGCATGCGACAGAAAGGATATCCCCGTTTAGTTGTTACAGTTGAATACTTCTTGTAGAGTACATTGATGGTGGCACCGTTCCATTCGTGCGGAAGCTCCCTCCCGTCCCACATTTCGACAGGGATGGCGTGGAAGCGTTTGATCATGATGGGGTCGTCTACGTCGTCGTGTTGATACGTACTGTCTGTAGTTCTACCGGCAGAGAATCTTGATGACCAGTCGCTTTCCAGTTTTTCATCCCCCGTGCTGCTCTCCGAGTATCCTCCAGGGATGACACGGACTTCAGGTGCGGACCTCAGGTGTTGTGAGCCATCAGTGGTTGGTACCTTCGGTCGATGCTTTACCTCTTCGATGTTGGATGGGTTGCACGTGGGATATTTAGCGTTGAGTACAGAGCCGAAGAACCTCGCCCACCGATGGAGAAACTCTTCCTTGCTCTTCAGCATGACACCATTCTCATCGTTGACGGGCTGCTGTCGCCCTGCCTGCTTCTCTTCTGGGCCTACCGAGCTCTTGAGGTGTTTGTCAAGTCCCCGCATGTCGCGATACTCAAGGGTAGATTCCATCCTACTAGCCACATACTTCTCCAAGTAGGTGGGTATGAATGCCCTCATCGACCGCTGTACGTACGGCCTCTTGCAAGGGGCCAGGAGTGCTTTCATGTTGGATTTCGGTCGGTTTTCATCTCCCGGCGTGCCTTTCTTCACTCGGCAAGCGCTGCCTCGACTGCTGCTCTCGTTTCCGGGCTTTGGCACCACTCCGGCATACTCCGTGGTATCCGGGTCTCTGCCGGCAGCACTGACTGCGCTGCATCAAGGATAGTTCGGGTGAATGGACCAAAACAATTCATATCTTTGTGACCACGTCGTCATTATCAGCCTCAAACTAAGAGTATGGCGGGCGTGATCGAAGGCGTCCTGCGAGGCAACTGATACAGCGCCGGAAGGAAGTAGGAGTAATTCAGGGCTGCCTTAGCTGGGCCAATTGCCCACGTTATACGTGTGCGCGTAATGCACGTACGTTTCACCGTTTGGTTTCCTTCGACGAAAACACGACAAAAACGACCAACTGACGGTTTCATAACGGTGACACGGAGCTCCGGCATCCACCCCTCAACGGTACAGTATTTCTCCTCTGCGTTTCCCCGCGCTATGCTTCACAATCTCACAACTTGGCTTTTAGGAGACGGAGACCAGCTATTCAGTGTCAACATGCGTTGACACCTCTTCCCACACCCTTTCTCTCCAGACGCGAGCGAGGGCATGGGTAACCCGTTTTCATGTTGCCATCCTGGCCGTAAGGAGAAGGACCGGGGCGGCTCTAAGGTCCGCGATCGACTCCTTCGCACTCAGGACAGCTCCACGCAGACGTGCCTCGAGGGGGAAGAAACTTTCGGCTTGATTGGGCCGCAGCAGCAGCAGCAGCAGGATGGATCGGATGGGGACACCAAAGACGAACAGGCTGGGGCGTGGAGAGGAACGGTGCATGGCAGCAGCAGCAGCAGCGGTTTGAATGGTTCGTACCCTGCCGAGAGATCGAACAACCAATTCTCTGCAGCAGGAACGGTAGGAGCAGCAGCAGCAGCAGCACCGACAGCAGCGCAAAGGACCTCGTCTTCGGCATCAACCGCCGCCGCCACCGCCGACCAAGGACCTGCCGTCGCGAGAGGCGGTAGAGAACCGGAGGGGTTGCCAGCAGCAGCTAATGGATCAGCACCGCCACCACCACCAGGCCATCGATGCACCGGTGCTATGCCACGGGCTCACCCAAACGACCAGCATCATCGCCGGCAGAAGCAGCAGCAGGTCATGAGCGGGGGGGGAGGCGGAACGGCAGATCTCCGTTTGGGAGGGCGTGGTGGCGCAGCGCAGCAGTTCGGGGGTACAGCGGCGGCGGGCAGGGGAGGGGGTCGGTTTGGCGCAGCAGCAGGAGGCGGGCGTTTCGCTACCAAGACTGTGGCTCGAGCGGTGCCTACTGCTGCCGCGGCGGCCGGCACCGTTCTCGTCAAGTACGAGATGAAGGAGGTGCTCGGCGTCGGGAGCACGTCCAAGTGCTACAGATGCGTCAACAGGAGGAGCAGGAAGGAGTTCGCTTGCAAGGTGAGCCGCCTGGCGGCTGTTGTGGACATTGAGAAGAGTCTGTGTTGCTGTCGTTGAGAATCCATCTGTTGCTCCTGCTCTCGATGGGGGAGCGGGAAGAAGCATGTCCCCGACGGCGGTCACGATGTGATGCTCTCTGCTGTCGGATGAGCATGCATGTACGGCGTGTATGCCCCGCAAGCGTAACTTCATCCATCTACATGCGCTGCAACGGCACATGGCCGAGAGCTGCCAAACGCCCCGCAACTCTACCGAGCACCCTTTGCTGTAAGGTCGTCGTCCGCATTCCGCATCATCATAGGGAAGAGTTTATGGCAGCGACGAACTACACATCGGTTTTGCTTTTAAGATTCGGTTGGACACGTTCCGTATGAATCCATGTGTTTGTACATATGTGTTGGGTTCCGATCCTCAAGCATCCGACTCGAAATTACTGGAATTACATTCGATTTTTTTATGGGAAAACGACACAACAGGGTATACCCTGGTCGAAAAGCGACACAACAGGGTACACACATTCACAGCAGTAAATAATTGCACTCATATCATTGGTCAGCACCCAATGTCACCCCGGTGCCCCGGTGCGTCCGAAAAGGCGCAGGGTATACCCTGCCGTGACTACTTTTCTCAACAACTGTACCCTGTTTTCGGAAATGTACCCTGACCTGACCAGAAAAGAGACCCGTTCATCGACCATTGCCCCCGCAGGAATTCTTCCCAACTCCTTTTCCCCTCCAACCATGGGATACCAAAAGGCGAATCTTCCCACCCAATAACAACTATGGCAACGGAGTCTTACGCGAGACGCACGGGTCACGTTGTGAAAGCGAGACCGATCCAGCATGGTTGACGCACGTGTGCGTGCGTGTGTTGTCTGTTGTCTCAATTGCGATGTGCCTAGTGTGCGTGCGTGCGCTGTCTGTTGTATCTCAATCGCGATGTGTTTCTTGCTTGAACTACTGCTGTAGCGGCAGCGGTCACGCTTTCCAGCGAACCAAGGCGGCCAATCAATCAATGTAGGAAGAAGACGTCAGGCTTCAGCGGGATGAACCGATGAAATACAACGCGAGCACTCTTTCTTCTCTCTACCGACAGGGAGGGTGATCGAGTTGGACGACACAGCAGTGTCCTGCTGCTAGAGTGAGGATAAGACTCGTGTGTGCGTGATTGATGTCAAGGGCGTGTCTGTGTGTGCTGGTCCTGCCTCTCCCCTCCACTCTCTCTGCGGGCGCGAGCTCACCGCCAGCACAGCGTCACACATTGGCACATGCTTTTTTTTGTTTTGTTTCCCCGCGGCGTCGTATGTGCCGGGTTTTGAGACCACGGGCTCCCCATTCTTTGTGGACTATAGGGCTAATATGAGAAACAACAACAACAATAACAACATGCTATGCATGTCAACCATGCTGGATCGGTCTCGCTTTCATAGCGTGACCCGTGCATCTCGCATATAAAGTGCAGCAAGCAGTAGTCCACGGGGTATCGTACGCGTGTGTGCATGTTTCCAAACGGAACAATTGTGCTGGGGTATTGCCCGGCCATTGTTGATTTTGAGCGGAAGAGTTTTTTGTTGTCGTTGTTGTTGTTGTTGTTGTTGCCTTCGCATTAAAAACCGTTTCGATCTCTCTACCCAGTACCTTCGTATGTCCGTACTGATCCAACACTCGACGAGGTCGATTCCCGTGGTCACAGGTTAAATTACCCTTAAAATGTACACACTCAAATATCTGGGTTTATGGTTGTTGTTTCTCAGGGGCGGAAACTGATTCAATTCCTGCCCCGTTGTCATGGTTGTTTTTGGGCGGGAAGATTCGCCGTTTGGTATCTCATGGTTGGAGGGGAAAAGGATTTGAGAAGATTCCTGCGGGGGAAATGATCGATGAAAGGGTCTCTTTTCTCGTCAGGTCAGGGTACATATCCGAATACAGGGTATAGTTGTTGAGAAAAGTAGTCACGGCAGGGTATACCTTGCGCCTTGTCGGACGCACCGGGGTGACATTGGGCGCTGACCAATGATATGAGTGCATTTAATTACTGCTGTAAATGTGTGCCCAGGTGTGTCGCTTTTCGACCAGTACCCTGTTGTGTCGTTTTCCCTTTTTTTATTTGTAGAGTTCATGGTTGGGGCGCCAGTCTGGTGGTATGCATGTGCAAAACGGCGATAGGGTGCTTCCAGTTACACATAGTGCAGTAGTGCCATTTACGTCGCGGGGCGCGCCGCCCCTTCTGCTATTGCTGTTTTTGTTTGCTGCTCTGTTTATTTGAAAGGGTTTTTAACAACCAACAAGAGGCTGACCGAACTGATGACCTTGCTGCTGCGAAGCCTTCGTGTTGAAAGAAGCGATGTTCTTTTGTCGTTTCGAAAAGGTGGCACAATCGCTGTTGGGTGGCACCTTGAATCGAAATGACATGAATCCGCCGGCGGTCTCAACCACATGAGTTTTGCGTGATGTTCGTGAATTTTTCGCCCTGGGGCACGTGTACTGCTGTATCCAGTTATCGTCGTGTACGTATCTCTCCGCATCACTTTCTCAGCGTGTGCTTCTGTCGTGCCTTCTTTGGTGCGTTCTTGCGAACCGGTTTAATAGTGGTGACAAGTAGGGGCAGCAGATGATACTCACCCCGCCGCATCAGAAGGCGGGCAGCATGGGCAGCAGGTAGGCATATACTTCTACCGCTGCATTGCAACGCTGTGGATACTCTCCTCCCTCACCGCCATAAGCTAACCCCGCCCCCTCCCCCTTCCAGGTGATCGACAAGCGAGCGATGGACCCGAAGCTGAAGCCGCTGCTGGACCAGTTTCATGTAGAGATACAGGCAAGCAAGTGATGTCTCCCTCACCTGGTTGTTTTTTTTCTCCAATCTCGGATATGTCTTGTGTACCTATCCATGGATGTTTTTGTATCTCGCTCTCCCTCACTCTCTCCCTCTCTCTCGCGCGCGTTGTGGGTTCACGCGTGCAGTGCGCCCAGCATGCAATGCGCTAGTGATTGTGCTCTCAGCTCCCAAACTTTGTGCATGGTGGCCACATTGGTTTGATTTTCCTTGAGAACGCTGCAAGTAGTCTGCCCACCACCTTATTCCGTTGGACAGCAACGCCTTTTTTTGCGCTGTCGGATATCGGTCTCGGAATGAGTATTGTTCAATGCAACAGCAATGGAGAAACCAGCTCTAACCAGACTAGACGTATCATGTCCGCATTGCCTGCCCGGTTCGGAAAGATACAATAATCCTGTTTGACACACAGAAGGTATTAGCGTTGATGGTCATGCTGCCCGGACTCTGCTGCTATGGGCTGGTGCTTACGCCTGATAACAGGCGGAAGAGTGTATATGCTTGCTTAGAAGTAACGCACACACGAGGGAGGAGCCAAGAGATCAGGAGGGCACGGGGATTGCAATCCCATACACCTATGCTAATAAGTCACGATAAGGCGAAATCCTGGGGGAGGTGTGGGGGGGG